ACCCTCAGTCTGGATCCATCTGTCACCTGCTCTGATAACATCCTGGCTTCTTCACAATTATGTGCATATCTGTAATTATCTGCCTTTTCTGCTAGGATGTGGTTCCACAGAACAAAACCATTCTTGTCCCTTTGTTTCCCATGGTAAATTCCTACCTAACAGTTGCCCAGGAATTAATTGATGGTTTTCATTGCCTGCTCCAACAGATAACTCCACTCTGGATGGATGCAGTTTGTCCAGTCTGTTCCACTGACCTTGAGGGCAGTGGTCAAGAACTACCTTTTCCCTAAATGTCAAGCAATCTGGGCTTGGTGAAATAAATTATGGTGTTTCCAGATGACTGAATCATTGCAGTCATTAACATGAGGTTTTGGGGGAGTACTTGGTACCCTGGGAAACACTCATGAAGTAATGTTCCACAGTCATACCCTCCAGAGTCTCACCGCCACATTGCCACAGCAGGACAGACCTAAGGGAAGCTTGCCACACCCTCAGAGCTCACCTTGAGACCACCATCCCCTCGGTGATACTGCCCACCTCCCTACAACAGGTCTCCTAAGACCAGTCCCAATAACTAAGAGGCCAGCAGAGGGAAAGCCATCATGGCATGCATCCCTATTGACCACTGACCCCATAGAAGCCCAAACTTCCTGGTCATCAACTAGCTTTATAAATTCTCTATGACTACCCATACCCCTCCCACACTGGGGCCCCAGTGGGACTCAGTCTGTGACCCAGTGGGACTCAATCTGTCATCAACCACAGTCCTTCTTTGAAAATTTTCCTCATCCTCTCACTCCACCAGAACCCTAAGCCCTTCAAGCCTACCAAAGGAGAAACAGGCATCCATATGTTCAAGAAAGCTGTACCACTACAAAGCCCTAAAGTGCTCATCGAAGGAACAGGATTAGCAAATTGTGGGGTGTCCTCCTATGGAACCTACCAAAGGAGAAACAGGCATCCATATGTTCAAGAAAGCTGTACCACTACGAAGCCCTAAAGTGCTCATCGAAGGAACAGGATTAGCAAATTGTGGGGTGTCCTCCTATGGAAGATTCCGCAGCTGTTACAAAGAATGAGGCAGGTCCATCTGTGCAGACGGATGGCCTCTAAGACACATTGCTGGGTGAGAATAGCAAGTGAAGGAGTAATAGCTATAGTCTGATGCCACTTACATCTGTCTAGATATGCATATGTGTACAAAACTGCACAGGAACGGTCCAGAAAGGTACACATCAATATGATAGCAGCGGTTATGTGGGGGCGGCCCTCCACAGGGTTTCTCTCCCACCCCCTTGCACCTCGGGCCTGAAGGTGGGGTAGCTGTCCCCCTGCTCTTCATCACTCCTTCCTGACAACATTTCTCTCCCAACCCCTCTGAAGGGCCTCAGACCCTATTGCCAGCTCCTCCTCCATGCAGTGGCCGCTGTCACTTATGCACAGGAGATTTTAACACCTGGCTCTCTGAATTTCTCCTTATCAATGCTCCCATCATCATTCTTGGTGACTCCAAAATCAGCATAGACAATCCAGCCACCACCCAAGGAACCTTGACACCTTGACCTCCCATCCTCCAGAGATCCAGCCCTCTGCTGATGGCGCCTCTCACACGGACACCCTGAGACAGCCACAGCCTCCCATACTACTATCACTCCTTCGAAATACAATATGCTCTCTATTTTTTAAAAAAAAAGTTGTAAAACTCCTTCCTTCAAATCTTTAGATACAACTACAGATTTATAGGAAGTACAGAATGCAAAGGAACACACAGTCAGCAAAACCAGACAATAAGAAGCTCTGCAGGACAAGCGACCCAACTTCCTCAACACAAGCAAAAGGAAAACCAAGGAAGAAGGAGGGGAAACCCACAGAATAAAAGGGACTTAAAAGATTTATTAACCAAATTCAGTGTGTGAACTTTACAGGGCTCCTAGTTCAAGAACAAAAATAAACTGTGAAAAAAGATCTGTGGCATGACGAGATTGTTGAAAATGTGAACATCGACTGGACGATGATATGAAGAAAATATTGCTAACATTTTTTAGCTGTGGGAATGATATTGTACTTGTGTTTTTGTAAAGAATCCTTAATTTTTGGAGATTATCTGCTGACATGTTTATGGGAAAAATGATATGATGTCTGGAGTTTGCTTCAGGATAATAAGAAGGGGAAGTGGGTGGGAGACAGAGGAAAAAAACTGGCAACCAATGGTGGGTCTGTCCCACAAGGGTTTGACCACAAGGGTCTGTCCCACTATTCTTTCTCCTTCCGTGAGTGTTTGCAATTCTCCATAACAAGAGTTCAAACACGTTTTAATTCCCTCCTTCACGTGGAGTTCGCAGTTGATCCCTGTCCCAACCTCTTGTCTCCCCACTCAGCTCCTCTGTTCCCTCAATCCCTGTCACGTTCACCAGGCAAAACCCCAACATCAGAGAGTCTTCCACCTACCCCATCAACAGCCTGAAGTAAAACACACCTCTGTTGAGTGCTCTTGCTTCCAGTTCACAGCCACAATCTCAGGGGATCTCAACAAGTCGCTGTCCTGCTCAAACCCTCTGGTCTCTATTACATTTAGGGTAAATCAGGCTCCTGTTCATGGTCTGGCCCAGCCCATCCCTCCAGCCATCTCTCACCACACTGCCTCTCTCCTCTGTGCCAGCCGTGTGGACCTGCCTTCTGTTCTTTGCACTCACCAAATCCATCCAGCCCCAGGGCCTTTGCACGTGACACAAGTCTCCAAACCCAGATCTTTGCATGAAGCATTCCTCCCACATTCCAGTGTTGCCTCCTCAGAGAGGCCTTTTCACATCATTCAGCCACAGAACACCCCTTCCCCTCCTGCCTCCATCTCTGTTCCAGCCCAGCCTTCTTCCTCAGATCCCTGCCTTCCCTATTTGATGTCTCTCTCCCATGAGAATGCATGCTTCTTGAGGGCAGGGGCGATCTGGAAACCACCCCTGCCCTGTCTTCCCAACACTGAGAACTGCACATGTTACATGGCAGGGACTCAATAAATACTTGTCAGATGAACAAAGGAGAGAGCATGATCCCGATTCCCAGTTTTATGTGTGTGTATGTATATGTGTGTGTGTGTGTATTTATGTCTGTGTGTGTATGTATTTGAAAGGCTGGAAGGAAATAACTAAATCCTAACAGTGGTTTTCTCTAAATTGTGGGATTATGAGTGACTCTGTTTTCCTCTCCTTATTCTTTGCAGAATTCTCCAAGTTTTGAATGGTGAACACATTACTATTATAATCGGGAAATGTTTTAAAAGATGATGTGTTTACGCAAGTAATATGTGAATACATTTTTGTTATGAAAATTTGAATAACACATCAAGAGTTAAAAGACCCTCTTGATCATCTGATCACCCCGTCCCCCAAATCCAGTCCCCTCCCACTGATAACCACCATTATCATTTTGATGGGTGCCCTTCCAGATCTTTATCTGCCTGGTTTTATGTGCATATGTACATATACACAGATATGTGGGGGCTTTTGTGGGTTTGGCTTTGGGTTTTTACATAAATGACATCAGACTATAGCTATTACTCTCTCACATGTGTCTTGGAGGCTGTCTGTCTGCACATGTAGACTCATCTGATTCCCTGCAACAGCTGCAGAACATTCCATAGGAGGGATGTGCCATAGTTTGCTTATTCCGCCCCTTAGATGGGCACTTTGGGGCTTTCTAGTCATATAGCCCCCTGAGCACATGGGCACGTGCTCCTCTGTGGTACATCGGGAAGGTGAATTGTTTGGGTACATGTGCTCTAAGTTTTCACAGATGCTGCTCAATTGGCCTCCAAAAGGGACACATGAATTTACACTCCCAGTAATAGTGTTTAAGGCTACCATTTCCACTCTTAATTTTATATCATTTTATATTATCCACTAATATTTCATATTACCTGACATTTCAATTTTAGCTAGTTCAATAAGGAAAAATTATTTCCATTTTCATCTCTCTGTTTCTTAAGGTGTTTGAGAAACTTTTCGTATGTTTATTGGCCACGAGGAACTCTTCTGTGAATTGCCTATTTGTTGCCTCACCCATTTTTTAAAAATGGGGCTGTTTACTCTTTCCTATTGATTTTGGAAATTCTGAATAAATTACAGTAAAACTTATTTTTTTTTTCCTTTTTGTCTTTTTTACTGACCGGTAACGGGATTGCAACCCTCGGTGTGAACTCTTCTGTGAATTGCCTATTTGTTGCCTCACCCATTTTTTAAAAATTGGGCTGTTTACTCTTTCCTATTGATTTTGGAAATTCTGAATAAATTACAGTAAAACTTTTTTTTTTTTCCTTTTTGTCTTTTTTACTGACCGGTAACGGGATTGCAACCCTCGGTGTCGCGCCCGTACCAGGGACCGGCAACGGGATCGCAACCCTCAGTGTTGCGCCCGCACCACACTCAGCCAGTGAGCGGGAACCGGTCTCCACATGGGATCCAAACCCTCGGTGGGAGCGCCACCGCGCTCCCAAGCAGCACACTCTCCAGTGCGCCACCGGGCCGGCCCAGTAAAACTTATTTTAATAAAACCAAAAGAAGGTGTATGTATGTGTGTGTATACATATGTCTACTCGACTTGACTTTGTTACAGATATTCTTAAGGGTACTTTTTAACTTACTGATGAATTTTATAATTTTATGGTGAAACTATGGTATGGTTTGAGACCTGGAAAGGAGGCCTAAATAAAACTGATTTGTGGGGAAAGGAGGGGTGGGACAAACTGTTTAATGGGTGAGGGGTTTTACTTTAGAGAGATGGAAATGTTTTGGAGCTAGGTAGATGTGGTGGTTATGCAACCTAGTGAATGTGCTAAATGCCACTGAATTGTTCACTTTAAAATGGTTAATTTTAGGGCTGGCCCGTGGCTCACTCGGGAGAGTGCGGTGCTGATAACACCAAGGCCCCGGGTTCGGATCCCACATAGGGATGGCCGGTTCGCTCACTGGCTGAGCGTGGTGCTGACAACACCAAGTCAAGGGTTAAGATCCCCTTACCGGTCATCTTTTAAAAAAAAAAATAAATAAATAAATAAATAAATAAAATGGTTAATTTTATATTATATGAACTTCATCTCAATAAAAATTTTTAAAAGGCACTCGATGCTAATGTTAAGGGAAGCTGGAAACTCTATACTATCTTTGCAAGTTTTTCATAAATCTAAAATTATTAGAAAACAAAAAGACTATTATTTTTTTTAAAGCTGGCTTGGGAGGAAGAATAAACAAAAAGGTAGGAGGGTAAAAAAAAAGAGAGAAGAAAGATTTTTTTTTTTAAATGAAAAATTAGAAAAAAAAAGAAAAAAGAATCTTCCTCACATTTTACAGGTGAGGAATTGAAGTCAGGTCCGGAACACACAGGAAGATAGTGGCCTAGTTGGAACTAAAGCCCATGATAGGGCCACTGAGTCACTCTCTGGATGTAGATGCTTGGAGCAAGCCAAGCCGTCAGACAGGAGGAACAGCCGACCCGTGGGACATGGACACTGGCCACAGAGCTCTGGGGAGGGACGACAAGGTCATTGGGACCTGTGTGAGGCACCAGATAGATGCCCAGCTCTACCTTGTGCATCCCGGTTGCTGGGTTCACTTTTCTTTTCCTTTTCTTGCTTCTCAATTTTTGATTTGAGGTGCTCAATCTCCCTGCGCAGGTCAGAGATGACATCCGTGTACTGCGCGATGCGGTAGGAGACGTTCAGCAGGTTGCGCTTGACCTAGCAGAGCGGGACACATGGCCAAGGTCAGACCTAGCAGGAACTGCCCCACAAAGGAAATGTTTGAAAGACGATGTATTTACACCAGTAGTATGCAAACACCTTCTGTTATAAAAATGCAAATCAATTTTATTCTGCCTTTAAGAGGAAGTAAATTCTGACAAATGCTACAACATAGGTGAACCATGAGGACATTATGCTAAGTGAATAAACCAGACACAAAAAGACAAATACTGTATGATTCCACCTATATGAGGTCCCTAGAGTAGTCAAATTCATAGAGACAGAAAGCAGAACGGAGCGTGGTGCTTGCTGGTAACACCAAAGTCAAGGGTTTGGATCTTACTGACCTACTGCCAAAAAAAAAAAAGGAAAGAAAGAAAATAGAATGGTGGCTGCCAGGGTCTGGGGTGGGGGGAATGGGGAGTTCTTGTTTGACAGGTATAGTGTTTCAATTTGGGAAGATGAAAAAGTTCAGAAGATGAATGATAGTGACGGTTGCACAACAATGTAAATGTGCTTCATACCACTGAACTGTGTGTTTAAAAATGCTTAAAATGGTAAATTTTACGTTGCACAGACGAGGAGTCTTCAAAAAGCTCATGGAAAAATTTGAATTATATTTTCATTCCATTTTTCCATGAACTTTATGAAGTACCCTCATATTTTCAAAAACGTTTCAATTATTCCATCAAGAGTTTAAAAAAAACCCTCCCACCTGTAACCACTGGTATCATTTTAATGTGTACCCTTGTAGATATTTTTCTTTTTTTTTTTTTTTTTCCTTTTTGTCTTTTTTTGTGTCCGGCAACGGACCGCAACCCTCAGTGTCGCGCCCATACCAGACCGGGACCGGGACTGGCAACAGGATCGCAACCCTCGGTGTTGCGCCCGCACCTCGCTCAGCCAGTGAGCGGCCGGTCTGTATGTGGGATCCGAACCCTTGGCGGGAGCACCGCTGCATTCCCAAGCGGCGCACTGTAGCAGTGCGCCACCGGGCCGGCCCGTAGATATTTTTCTATGCAGTTTTGTATTTAGAGAGATACGTGAGTGGTTTTCGTGCATTTGGAGAGGAGCTTGGGTTTGGCTGTTTCTGTAAATGGCATCATAGTTCTGTAAATAGCTATTATTCTTTTGCTTGCTTTCTCACCCAACCACGTACCTCAGAGGCCATCTGTCTGCACAAATGGACCCACCACCCTCTCCGTAACAGTGTGGAGTGTTCCATGGGAGGCATGTACCACAGTTTGCTGATCCCATCCCTTCGACAGGCCCTGTGGGGCTTTCTAGTGATACAATCTCCTTGAGCACATGGGTGCCTGTTTCTCTTTGGTAAATTTGGAGGAGGGAAATTTCTGGGTCTCAGGGCATATGCACTGTAAGTTTCCCACCCCATTGCTAAGCTCTGAGCTTGTGTGAGAGCAGAAACCCAACCATTTTCTGAATCTCTGGTGCTTAGTCCAGAACCAGTTTGTTGACAAATGATAATAATAAAATAATTCTTGGGCTGGCCGATTAGCTCAGGTGGTTAGAGTGCAGCCTTGTAACACCACAGTCAAGGGTTTGGATCCCATACTGGCCAGCTGCAAAAAAACAAAAACAAAAATCAAACAAAAAAAATTCCCACCATTTGTTGACCACTTACTACATGCACTTGCACTGTACATAGCAGCTAATGTGCATTATCTCACTAAATTCTCATCCAGCCTTAAGGGACAAATCCTTTAGACTATGCCCAGCAGTGTAATCAGAGCAACACAGCAGTTTTGTGCATGGGCCTTGGAGCAGGCCCTCTGGGCTCCAACACCACCTCTACCATCTTCAGCTGTTGCTTTATCTCTTGCTATACTTCAGCTGTCCAATCTGTTAATTGGGGATAATAATGGGGCCCACCTCCACACAGAGAGCTTACAGTGATACCTAGAGATAGGTCCATGTCCTAAACCTCAGAATCTGTAAGTGGGACCTTATTTGGAAAAAAGGGTCTTTGAAAATGTAATTAAATTAGGGACCTTGAATTGAGATCATCCTGGATTAGGGTAGGCCCTAAATCCAATGCCGTGGGTTCTTAGAAGAGAAGGGAAGAAACCAAGAGAAGAGGGGAAGGCCTTATAAAGACGAGGCAGAGATCGGAGCGATGCAGCTGCAAGCCAAGGAAGGCCTGGAGCCGGCTGAGGCTG